TTCAAATGTGCATAACTTTTTGTCATTTTTTATTTTTCCTATATTTTAATGATGTAAAGCACTTTGCATTGCATTTGTACTGAATTGTGCTATACAAATAAATTTGCCTTGCCTTGCCTTGCCTTTTAAAGACATGCTTTAGAAATCCTGAGAGTTATAGTACTTGTCTCCAGCTATAGGCCTACATGGTAGAGGAAGGACCACGAAAAACCGCCATACTGCTGGAAGTTAAAGTCATGGTATCTTCACCGATTGTAAATTAATAATATCTTATCTATTTAATTAAAGGATTGTAGGATTTTTTTTTATTCTAAGTGCATTTTAAGTGGGCTTTAGGCCAGATTAGATGGTGTGTTGGTTATTTTGCCCTTTTGCGAAGATGCAAACTTACTTTGAGCTCAGTTAGTTGTCTAAATATATCATAATTTAGTAGTTTTTACATAAGACCCCCAAATTTAAATGATTATTGAATGGTGGAATTAACTATCAAAAGAACCAAACATGCATGTTATGACTATCTAAAATGATTTGCATCTCTTCTTACACCGATCATCAAACAAGTTTCATATAGTTCAGGTATTATTTTTGCTTCTCATCTTTACTTTCATTTCTTTAGATCTTGGGATGTTTTGTTTGATATCTTTAGCTTTTTGATTTTGTCAGTTTTTTTAAGGTAATTTCCTTGATCCTAAGGCTTCAAATTAGTAATTCTGTGATTCAGTGATTGTTGAAGCAACATTTAAAGAATGAAAATAAGATTTCACCAAAGTTTTTCAAGAATAGACGGTTAAAGATTCCGAGAGTTTAGAGATAAGAGCAGCAGTATGTGTTTGTCCTGCTGTTAATTGGACTAAAATTTGGTGTCTCTCTCTGCTTGTTAAAGTTTCATGGCCTTGGATTCGTCCCAGAGGTATTGAGGATACTGTTTGTCTCTCGCTGTGGGTGTTTTGTAGTCTCACTCACTTTCAACTGTCAGCGTACGGTCTGGCTATTTTCAGTCCAACTACCACGTCCCCTTCTTCTTATCTCCATGGCAACAGATATGGACTGAACTCTGCCCGGCTCTGTGGGGTCCGAGGGCAGAGGTGGGGTAGTGGGACGGTGGGCCTGACGTCGTGTGGCGAGCCTGCTTTTGATGGGATCAGGATTTGGATCGCTCCAACAGGATGTGGAAAGGTCATTTTGTTTCTGTGTCTTATTTAGTTATCAGCGGCGGTAAATCCTTCACAGCAGTTCACCGATTCTATAGAAGAAGCAGAAAACGATCAATTCGGATTGGCGCTAGAACAGTGAGATGCATGTCTCTAGTACTCCTGCGAAGTCAGCAGTGGTGTCAGCAATAATATGAGGTGATATTTGAAGAGAAAAGCATCTATGTCAGTGTTTTTTTTATCTGCGTCAAAAACCTCTTAAATCCAGGGCTATGAGAGCATCCCTTTTTTATTTGTGGTGGGTTCTTTTTCTTTCTGCAAGTAGAAAAATGTACTAAATACAATTACGTTTTTGCACAGTGGGTAAAAACTTAGGATTTTAGGAAAGGAGAAGGAAAAACATCTTTCTTGCATTCCTTTTTATTTAGCAGAGTTAAAGAGAAGAAAACCTGCACCACGATAGCATGTGTGTGACAGCACCTAAAGCATTGTTTGTATTTAACCATGTGGATTTTTCTCAGTTATGTCCCCAGACATTTATTTTGAATGGCAGACTGAAGTCGATAAGCCTTTGCTAGAAGTAAATTGGATCTGCTTCTTCAATCATTTTGCCTGTCAGTCCCTTGGAGCATGTCTGCATTTACCATGAAACACATTCAAGAAAAGATGCAAGGGGACTGGACAAAAAAATGTTGTGTCACAGCTATAGAGTCTTTACTTATTAATTTGAAGGAAAGTTTGCTTTATGAACTTCTTTCATAACTTTTTTTGGGGTGTCGGCTGATAGGTCAAAGTGAATCTACCTCATTTGATTGTGCAGGAAGATGGCAACAGGTGAAGGGAGAGGGTAGATAATAGCATAACAATGTGAGTGAAACATAAAAGGAAATAAAAGATGATGAAGAGCTTTTTATAACTGGGCGCTTAGGTCTTTTGTTAAAGCTAAATCAATGTGTGCATTGCCTTTAAAAAGTTTTCATTACTATTGAGCTTATAAACATTTCACCAAGAACAACCAACAAGGTTGTGACTGGTAAAAATCAAAGTTCAGCATAAATGTTAGACAGTGAAAAAAAAATTATATTTAGTTTGGTAATGTTTTCATGAATACATTTGAAAGATTTTACTCTGTAAAAACATCCATACCTGTGTAATTTATTTTCTAAAATGGAGTTTAGAAAAATTGTAAACATACACAAGAGAGCAGCAGCCAAGAGGCCCAGAGTAACTCTGAGGGAGTAGCGGAGATCTGGAGCTCCGGAGCTCTGGTGGGAGAATTTGTTATGATTTTATCAAGAGCTCGGACCCACATGCAGAGAAACCAATTCAGAGACACCAGGGAAAAAGTTTAACAGGTTTATTGAAGAGATTATACAGAATCAAGTGTTGCTCTGAACACTGCTCAACCGGAACTGAAAAGTGAGGTGAAGGCACAGTGTTTAGTTCAGGCTCAGTAGGAAATTTGACTCTTGAACTTGAAGAGGAGAATTTGGTTGCTGACTCACGTTTCCAGAGAAGTTGTTGAAACTTTGACTCCAATCTGTGTGCGGTAGTTCCAGTGTTTGTCTGATTCGGTGGAGGGTGGTCAGGATTTACCCAGAATGTGGTTGTTTGTAGGTGAATGGAGAAGCTGACTGCCACTCAGATTTCCTGCGGTACTTGAACGGGTCATAGTGGAAATGAATCCCTTGCTCAGTGTGAAGCTCAAACAAACTCTTGAGGAAAAGTAGATTCAAACCTCCAGTTTAAATCCTCTGCTCAGTTTGAAGCTCAGATGATCCTTCCAGGGAGAGAAGGTCCGAAACATCCAGTTTGCAGGATGACTTCCTGCCGAGAGGGAAAAACAAAAACAAGATTAAGATTCAGGTTGACAAGAACTCAGTTTGACTCAGCAAAACTCAGCTTGGCTAGAGTACCCAAAACTGGCAAACACTCTGGCATCGAGGTAGTGGCAGTCAGCATTGTAAGAGTGCTCCGTTAACGAGGTAACCCTCTGCAGGTGTGTGTGGAGGTGGACCAGAATCAGGCGCCTCCTGGTGGAGGAAGGGAGACAAACGCAGAAACACAAAAACACACAGACATGAATCCTGACAGAATTTACATCTGTTAGCTATTCACTCTACGAATCTGACCTTTATGGAAATATGGGAACTAATATTTGATAGACATTTTTTCTAAATCCAGCTTAAGGTTTTCCATTATTGGTGCCCTGATTAGACAAGACTTAATTGAATATACTCTGGCCTACATGCAACAAAATGAGTGGAAGAAAACTAACTCTGCAAATCACCTGGAGTACACCATCCATTTTGTCAAACACGGTGGTGGCGGCATTGTGCTAGATTTTTTTCTTTTTTTTTCAGATCAGAGTTGATGCAAAGATCGCTGAAGCAACAACAACCCTTGAAGAACACTTCTGAAAATTAAAAGAATGGTTAATTTTCAAGTCGAATAAAAATCGTAAACATAAACATAGAGCCACAATGGAATGAATTCATTCAAATATTATGCACATAATAAATGGTCAAATCAAAGTCCAGATTTAAATCCAACTATTAAAAGATCTCAAAATGATCAACTTCAACTGGTCATCCAATCTAACAGACCTTAAGTTAAATTGCAAAGAATTATATTCGCTTTAGGAGAAAAGCTGGTAGAGAGTAGAGAAGTTCTTCAAAGGAGTTAAATCCTTGCCTTCAAACCTTTAATTTATTATATTCAGGTGCTTAACTCCAAATAATCGCACCATTTAACAATTTCTATTTACAAAAATACAAAGGAATACAGAGAAATCCACATAATGCCACATAATGGATATTTATTGCAGTATGTAAACATGTTTGGTTGTAATATAATTAAATTTGAATATGAAAAATTAGAAAAAAATTGTGCAGCTTGTCAAACATCTTTAACAAAAGCAAATCACATAACTTTTTTTTATAAAAAAATTGCCACCAGTAATTTAAATATTTCTCTTTTCCAAAGCTTATTAATCAATTATGTGTTAGTGGTGTTTAATGGGAAAAAATGCAATAATCTTTGTTACACAAACACTTCTTAAACACAAACTTACTAATGTGCTGCACATGTTGAAGGCCTCTTTCCATCCTCATGTGTCACTGCTTATAATTCTATACTGAAAGCAGGGAGAGTGAGGAGAAGAGACGTACAGAAGGTTAGAAAATTAAAGTTAGTGCTTCATGGGAGAACATCAGATTAGTTATGGCTGGTCAGTTACCCTGAGTGGAGGGGTGGTTGGGAGGGGAGATGAGGGAAATTAAGACAGTAGCAGAGCAGGGACATGGTTTGAAAATGGGAGTGTTAGGAAACAAATAAAGTGGAGGAAAGTCACAGAAATGAGGAAATAGGTTAAATGAAGAAGAGATCAGTAATATAACAACAGGAGTGCCAGCTGTAGGCCTTTGTCAGCCTGGACTTCACACAGTTTATGTCTAAGAGTCCCAAATCTCACTGGTTTATACAGCTTGGTGTGTGCTTTCTTCTCACCAACAGATCCTTTCACAGTCGGGGGTGTTTTAAGCGCATATCTAAAGACACCCACAGAATTTTACATGAGTTCCTTTAAATTGGCCCGAATCTTTGAAGGGAGATTTTATGTTGAAGCATCTCATGGTGTGAAAAGCCGGGATTTTTTTTTTTTTTTTTTATCAGATTGTAGAACCAAACACAGATAAGTTAGCCCATAGTGGAAAGAAGTGGGCATACTGAAGGCTTCTGAGAAGTCTTTTAAATGAGATTAGATTTTCTATTCTGGTTCCTGTGAAGTGATAAAAATTATCTGAATGCTGTGAGTTAAAATAACATTTCTTATTCTTTTGAATCCACCAGACTGAAGAAACCCCAAGAGGAGGAATAATCAGACATATACCCAAAGAGGAATACGAGAAAGGATATTTGGGTTACTCTGGTAAGCTGGAAACATTCTTTGTGAACCTGCTTTCTGCATCACATCATACCCACCTCTGATATCATTTTCTAAAACTGTGTGAACCTCCAGCTGTTTCAACATGAAACTTTCTCCTTAAAGTCATTCCTAGTCCCGCAGGATGCAAACACACAGATGCCACTTGGCTGCCATGGTGTGCAGCTCTCCCCAGACTCGATATTTTCATCTGTGATGTAGAAAACCATCTGAAAGATATTATTGCAAGCACTTTTCTGTAGAGATTGTGAGTCATCAAACAGCTACCCAACCTTTCTCTTTCTCTTCTGAAAGTCTGCAGGGATGCCTGCTTTCTTACGGTAGCTTTGAGGCAAAGGTCACGACTTGCTTGACTGCCATTTGTCTGCTGGCGGAGAATTTTGGCAGCGATGATAGGCATGGGATTACAATGAAGCTGTGTTTCGATGGTCTGACTGTCTTCTTGAGGCATTTGGTTCTCAGTGTAACAAACCCTGTCATCACTCGCCCGCTGCAGTGGGCGTCAGTACTTAGAAATAACAAAATATCCCTAAGAGCCTGAACTTTGCCTTGTTCTTTACTCCTTTTAGCACATAATGGCTCACAATGAGTGTGCGGAGGTGGCACATTTAGGGATAGAAAAAGTTGTTTCCTTGAACTTTTTCACTATTTGGACTCATTACTGCCAGAGATATCAATGTATTTTATGGGGCTGCACAACATGTAGAGAATATAAAATCTTTTGTTACTAAAACATGCAGTTTAAGTAACTAAAGTACTCTTTGAAATACAAAATTGTTTGCTAAGATCTTCCAAGATATTCAGCCATTTCGATGACCCTACAGTTGGGATGGTTTATGATGTTCAAAGAGTGTTGGATGCGCTGCTTAGAAAACAGGTTAGAAGAAAATGTAAATTTATGTTGTAGTTTTTACCAATAATATCAACTTAAGGTTTTTAACAGTTTTTTTATAGAAAAAGTTGATATTTTCAGGCATCTTTACTTTTATTACTATTTATTAAGATTAAGCACAACCAGCTGATTTCAAAAGTTACCTATTCATATGCTTGACTCCATTTAAGTATAATAATAAGCTGAGTATAATTTCAACTAATCTATAAAGACTTCATATGTTTGTTACATACCATAAGTAAAAAAGCAGCAAAATTCTCAAAACCTTAAGATTTACCTTCTAATGGGACACCAAATCTAAACATGCAGCCAAAGCTAAATAGGAAGTGTTTAGATTAAAACCTTTCCATGTATTGAAACGGTCTAGTCAAAGTCTGGGCTAGAAAAGTTTAATTTTCCTTCGACTATAAAATACAGTGCTGCTTTGGTTTAGACTTTATTTATAGTGTTTTTTTAAATACATATCTTAATAAAATAGATCGATGTTTGTTGCTCCAGCGTCACATAATGGGAAGACTTATGCAAGGCCTTGTACTGTATATGATTCTCTGAAACAAAGAGCAACCTTTAATTACCTTAGGCTCCCTCCCTCTTGTGCTGAACTGAAATTGTTTCAATGATCCTGCAGGCAGTTGATCTGATTCTCATTGAGAGAGGCAGGGGCGTGCACACATAGACACTAGGTGGTGCTAAAGCACTAGGAAGTTTGCCCTCTATCAAAGAAAATGCCCTTTTGAAACTCGTTTTTTTTAAATTATTATTAATATTATTAAGATTTTACTGAGGTCGGTTTTGAAATGATCTTTTGAAAACCTGAGCCATTAAAAACGACTGAAACAATGCCCCGAAATGACCGACCTACTTGCGCACAAACGACCCTCTCTCTCTTCCTTTGTCACGTGAACTCGCTCGGTCGCCCGCAGGGCATGCCAGATGCGCAGCATCATAGCAGTTTTCCGATAGCAGGAACGGTCGCTGACAGGCTGCTTCTCCCGTGCCCCATTAGCCAGGTAATATACAGATCAAGCAGAATCATTTTGTTGTGCATTAAAATGTCTCATTCAGCAGCACCAAACACGCATTTTGCCGACTGGTCACCAGATAAACTAGTTGTCTCCTTGTAAGATGCTATTTTACTTTTTATGTTTTGTATCCATATTTTTTATCTTAAGTGTATACATTAGTCTATTTTATTGCATGACGTATACCCACAGTTTTTAGATATTTTTATAATTTTATTTACCTATTCCATATTATATGTTTCATGTTGCACGATTGTACCATAAAAAATTCCTAGTTTGTGAACTCCTTCACTAACAATGGCAATAAACCTGATTCTGATTCTGAAAGTTTTACACTGTAGCCCAAGTCAATGACAGATAACGTGAGGACGACCACATAGGCTACAAATAATTTTGGTAGAGTTTGCAATTGCAAATACGGAAGAGGATTAGGGCCACTGAAAAAAAAAAAAAAGTTAACTGATTTTTAAATTTTATTTCAGTTTAGTATGGGAAAAAAGTCAGAATGCTGACTTTAATCTCATAATTCTAACTTTTTTCTCATAATTCTGACTTTTTGCTGAGAATTCTGACTTTTTGCTCAGTATTCTGACTTTAATCTCAGAATTCTGACAATAAAAAAGTCAGAATTCTGACTTTTTTCCCATGTTAAACTGAAATAAAATTTAAAAATCAGTTAACTTTTTTTTTTTCAGTGGCCCTAATCCTCTTCTGTACAAATCTATGTGTTAAGACAAACGTTTTCTGTTGTATAGGTTTTGTTAGGCAACATAAATTAACACATTTTGGTCTCTTTATTGTCTTGATTGTATATTGATTTAGTAATTGCAGCACAATACCAAGAAAGGAGGGTTAATCATATTGAAAAATCTTAAAAGCTGTTCACATTTTATTTTTAAGTGGTTTGTGCAGCAGGTATTAAAATAGCTAATATTTTGTAGGCTACCATAAGTCATATCCACGTGACAAGACTTCCAGTCATGTTGCCCTAATAGCCCATTATTTAAACTAATGTGGCATATTTGTTAAAGCTATTATTATTATTATTATTATTATTATTATTATTATTATTATTATTATTATTATTATTATTATTATTATTATTATTATTATTATTATTATTATTATTATTATTATTATTATTATCATTATTATTGTCATGATGGTTATTATTAATATATTGTAGCCAGTCACAGCAGGGAAGCTCTATACCATCAACATCTACCAGGACAGGAGATGAGGAAGAGTTCAGGGAAGACACAGAGACAGAAAAAGACCAGGATGAGGGAGAACAGCAGGATGAGGGAGAGCAGATGGGTGAGGGAAAACAGGGAGATGAGCCAGATGAAAGAAGTATGCTTTAGTCTGTTCTGTTGGTGATCTGACTTTTTTCCATTGAAAAATCACGTTTAGAGAATGTTACAAATAAAAGTCAAATTTCATTCAACATGCGTTTATTTTTTTTTATAATTAAGTGTTACACGTGCGCTAAAAAGTGCCCCCCCCCCCCTCCTGAGCACCTGCCCCCCAAAATGTCTGTGCACGCCTCTGGAGAGAGGTAACATGGACTGATGGGTGTCCACCATCCCACAGACGCTGCGTCAGGCAGGGAGCCTGCATGGAGACCTCAGAGCTCAGGGACTGAGATAGCTCAAAACTAATCTGCCTCTTGAGTTGTTTTATTTGTGCCGGTGGGGGCCTATCCATTAAAATGCCTGTTGCAGTGCTCCTCTCTCCTTCTGCTTTCCACTCTGTCGTTCTGTTTGTCTCTGAATTCTTTCCATTTCACCCGTGTCATTGCGCTGTGGCAGCGTGAATGTGTGCTGTGGGCCAGAGAGGCTGAGTCTACAGTTTTCAATGGCCGAGTCACAGAGGACCACACTCAGGAGCGGCACACTGAATTTGGTAGTTTGAAACACAGTGAGGCGTGAAGCGTCCATTGTGAACAGCTGCATTCAGGGCCAGCACCCTCCATTAGAAGGCCGCAGAGGTTTCTGTTTACCTCCAAGCGGCTGTCTTTCAACCAGTTTCTCTCACATGGTCGTCCGGGAGTATGGCAATATTGTTCCAGCGTTTCGATGCCAAATAGGGTTTGGTGGGGAAAAAAAACCTTCTGGTACAAGCAATAATGTGACATTAAAATGGTTTTGTCTTAACATCCTTCTAGCTTTGTTTTTCCTCAATTCTTTTTTCATTTGTGATCATATCTAACTCTCTCTTGTCTCCTTCATTGATATCTTCTGCTTTTTCATCTTTCTACTTAAAGGGGATGAGGAAAATATTTGTTAGCATGGAAAACATTCGAGATTAACTATAGCTGCTGTCTTTTTCTGATGTTTGACTATTATGTTCTTTACTGTTATTTTTCATCTTATGCTCTAGCAGGTGCAGAATGGGAAAAATATTCTGGCGGAGAATGTTTTAAACATTCAGGCTACCACAAGTTCACAAAATAAAGTTATCCCAGTGAAATTAACATTCTAGGTAATCCATTTGTGTAAAGTTTATTATGTACAGTTCATCAGAAGTGAGGTACAAATTATTCTAAAAGCATAACCTGAAAATTTTATGAGACACGAATCCCTTCGATTTTAAATTTCACGAAAAATTCCCAAAAACCAGAACATCATGAACAGCATCTTTACCAAGAAAATACATTTTTCTTTCCTTTTTACTTGCATGTTGGTGAAGAAACTACACAGTCTGTTGGCTTGAACAGCAAAGTTCTACCACAGCTCCATTGTTTATGCTATGAGACAGTTGGACTTGAAATAAACCCCAGGCTCTGCCTAAGAAACCCTTCATCACCCATCACCCAGCACAGTGCTGAGTACTAGTTCTGTTCAGTGGTTAAACACCCCTGTCTTTATTTTATGTGCAATTAATACGATCAAAATACATTTAAAAAATGTAATATGACATTTTTCTTACTCTTTGTAATTTTGGTATCATTTTCTTTATTTTATTAATTTTTTCCCTATTTACTTTTGTCTAGCTTTTGTTGTCAATTTGCTAAGTTTTTTTTTTTTTTCATGATGCTGCTTTCTTCCTATTACATCTTTCCTCGGGGC